AATCATCACCTTTTCTTATCCTTCGTGAGTAAGATTGAATAGCAACCGAAGTGAATTATATTTGTTGTAGATAGGAGTCAGTTTGATTGGTTGTTGGCAGAGAAAAGTATGTTGGACTAAGCTCGATAAACACCGAATTGAAGATCTTTAGAGAGAGTTTCAGCAATAGGAGCAAATATCGTTTGAAGACAATGATTATTTGTTCGGGCCTTCATCTTGATATCTAGTTCTTGGTTTTTATTCTTTGTTTCTTCACCATTACTCTCCTTGCAAAGATATATTTTCCAACATTTTTGTGCGGAATAGTTGAATACGAACATAGTTGTGAGTGAAGTGCATGCTCATGGGTTAATATTACGTTATAAATGCTTATATTAAGAATGCAACGGTGAATAATATTTTCAATTTTGCTAGGCCGTCACACTCTCGCTAACAGCCCCTCACAATAGGGGAGGTGGGCAGAATTTTTTGTCTTCTTTAATTCATACGAGTCCTACGTTGGTTCCAACAAATGTGAGAGGATGTCAAGCAGCATGTCAAATATTTTCTAGCGAACTAGTTTAATTCTAATAGTTTTGTTGTTGGGTCAAAGTGCATTTTTGTGTTTTGTGACAATTGATTAGTAAAAGTTTGATATGTCCTAGGATTCGTTTTGACGAGCGATGTGTAGAAGAACTTGTTAAAGGAATATATAGACCAAAATGATGTGATTGTGAAGGATTTAGGCCATGTTTGAGCCATATTTTTTTAAAAAATACATACTTAAATAGTGATTTAACATCATTTCAGTCACTTATTTTTCAATAAAATAATATTACATGCAAATTCAAAATTTTTCTTTATATTTTAACCACACATTTTCTATCAATATATTTTTCAAAAATGCATTCTAAGAAAAATAATGTGGCTCAAACAAGGGCTCAGTTGCAATGGAACTTCCAAAAAACGTATAAATGAACCCAGTGGGGGCCCTAGGATCAAACTGTAGACGTGGCCTAAGATCCATTTATTATTTAGCTACAACGTAGTTGACCCACCACAAACATATTTCACTCGTACACTTCTTCCAAGAATGAAGACAATGATAATAGTGTAGTTCCTGCAAATCATGTTAGCAGCAGCAAATGTCATCCACAATTTGGGTGCCAACAACGGTAACCCAATTAAGTAACACAGCATAATGCCAGTAGCAAGAAAGAATCTAATTATTAACTAATCATATTTCTTAAAACATTGCTATAAATTTCTACATATTAGTCAGCTTACGATGAGCTAATAATATATTTACACCAGAAATAACCCGACTGTAGAAAATTTAAATATCATATCATATATAATTGCACATCTGAAGTGGTGACCTTTTTCTCGCATCAACATTGTCTAGTGATAGACACATAGCTGCATTCATTGGCGTAACAGAATACTGCGTGAAGCATCGAGCCAACGAGTGTAGCAACCACGGAGGTTAGGCCAATCCGAGGATGGACATCGAGTGAAATGATGGAGCCATAGTGACAGCACTCTTTCTTGCTCGTCTTCTTGTTCTAATGTCTCGATTATCTCCTCCAATATCTTTTCAAGCTCGGCTCTTTCGTTGATGCTGAGGACAGGTGCATCAGTGCCATTGCTTGCACGGCATAGCAAAGGCAGCCATGAAATCAGCAGTTTCATTTTTGTTTGCCTTTGTTGCTCTAACATGTTTTTGTCATCTACAACTTTGCCCATGTCTTTCGATTGCTTGATCAAGAATGCTACAAATATAGATAATGAATCAAGAAAAAGTTTGTTTGATACACAAAATTCGAGAATTTGGTAATGGCCGAATGATCAATATTCAAAACGCTGACATGATCAATTTTTTTTTTTTTTTTAATCTACGGGTTAACCAAACTACGATAAAAACATGTTTGATTCACAATATTCAAGAATTCTCATAACAAGAAGTTGCATCATGCCACGGAGTATTTAAGAATTAAAATGGTGACAAGTCATTATCATCGAAATGGGGATCTGCAGCTATTTCTTTCTAGATTTAGCAATTTTCTTGTCATTTTTTGCCCCCAAATCTAAATATTTTTTCCTAATAATATGCCTATCTATATCCCAGTCGACACAACAACCAAGTAACAAGGAAATAGCCAAAATAGTAATGCGCCAAGTAAGAAGTTACATACCCGAGACCTTAACTAAGGAGCCTTGAAGCCGTAGCTCAGCCGACAAAGCGAGCGATGCCAA